CTCTCTCTCTCTCTCTCTCTCTCTCTCTCTCTCTCTCTCTCTCTCTCTCTCCTTTTCACGTCTGTTTTCTTTCACTCTTTCCCATCCCCCCTCCCACTTTCCCTCCCTCTATTTATCTCCCCATCCCCCTCGCACACAAACAAACAAACACACTGACAAACATACGTACTGGGCATCCGTTGTCCCGGCGTGTCCGGTATCCCGGCCAAGGACACTAAGCTCTCCTGCCTCTCCAGAGCTCCCCCACCCGCGCTGCCTGTAGAGTTGCGTACGCCCCGTCGCTTCTTCAGTAGACTTGCCTTGCGTGCCATCCTGGTGGAAAGAAAGGAAGGGTTTGAGTTTGTTCGTTTTAGCACAGTGGAACTCGTATTCAACGAAGTCGTCTGGCCTGACCTTCAGTTTCGTTGAATCCGAGTGTTCGTTAAAATAGGAAACATGAGTATTTTTGTGTAGACAACTACAGGCACCGTGCATGTATAATGTATTCGACCTCCTCAATCAAAAGTAGTTTGGTTTCAAATGAAAGGCTTTTCGTTTCTTTGATGCCATGCCGGAGAAATTCTGGAAAATTCTAGGATAATACACAGAACTCTACCAAGCACACGCTGTGCAAAAAGGCCCGATTAGTTCAAACGCGAGCCTGTGTCATCTATCATATGTGACGTATTGTTTTAGTTTTAGTTTAGTTTTAGTAGAGGTTTTACAGCGCTCGAAGCTGCACAAGATCATATGAGCGCCAGGAGATTAGAGGTGTTACAAGAGAGTAACATTACTAAAACAAATATAAAAAAGAAGAAGGGGAAGTAAGGACGATAAGTGTTTGATAGAAAAGAAGAACCAGACCACACCCGAGCACCCGCCAACCACTCACTGACGCATTGTTTGCTAAACAAGTTGCATTGCTGTGTATAGCCTAACATACGGCATTTAATTCCACAGTCCAGCGCGCAATTCATTACGTAAATCTATGTCAAGACGAGCTTGTCATTGTTATATTGATCAGTAGCCGGGGAAATACAACTGTGAGTACTGACAACTGACGTTCCAACACCCATACCGCTTGTGCCTCCTGCCCCAGTCACACGTGTGCTGGCCGCCCATCCGACTCCAACACACGCTAAGATAAGTGTGTGTGTGTGTGTGTGTGTGTGTGTGTGTGTG